TGCGAGTCTCCTCTCTCAACTTCAGCAGTGCCTCGTAAAGTTGGAAGGATTAATCGCATCTAGAGACCTTATGTATTTCCCACGTTGGCGCAGTGATGTCATCCACTGCCTGCTGCAAGGGACGGCGCCAAGATCCACAGTGCGGGAACCGATACAGCGATTCTCCACCGCGGAACCTCTTTTCCTCTATATGCACACCGAGCCGAATGTGCAGTGCTGGCTAGTGTTTTGGTTGGCCCCCGTCTCTGTACGGTGGAAGGGAAAAGAAAAAGAATATTCGCTGTCCCACTCGGCCCTACCAGTAACTATGTTATTAAACATAGCGTCTTTTTTAACGTCTTCGAACTTTATTAGGTACTTCTGTCCCTTGATGCCCCTATCAATATCCAAGGTGTATTCACAGTGAGTGGGGTAGGTAAGGTGTGGGGGTCTCCAATTTTTTTTCCTCCACCATGCTGGACTCCATTGCTGTGCTCTTGTTTGAAACTTATCTGGACCAGTCTTCAAAAATCTTTCCACGGCATCGGCATGAAATCCAGTTGACGGTCATAGTTGCGGGACTACTTACAAATCAGACGGGATGCTCGAAAACTTGTGTACGCTGCCGCTCTCTTCAGAGCTCTTTGCGCAGGCGCTCCACCCTTCCAAACCACTTTTGACGGTTGGCCTAACCAGCGGTCGTGTCGAGACCTTTCGTCTACCATCAACCGACGATGAGGGTGGCGGTGACAACGGCAGTATCAGCGGTGGAAAGGGCATGGTCAAGACTGTGTGGAGCACTCGTCGCCACAAAGGCAGCTGCCGGTGTCTTGCTTACAGCCACGACGGTGAATGTCAGCTAAGCTCCATCCCAGTATACTTGTATGATGAGACGCTGCTGACAAACTGGCGTATGCAGCACTCTACTCGGCGGGTACCGACTCCGTTGTTAAGCACTTCTCCCCCGAGACCGGCATCGTCATCTCCAAGATTGGGCTTCCTCCTCGCAACCCAGGCTCGAGTTCGATAGACTGCCCTGCTATTCTCCATCCCCTGTCACCTCAGACTCTCCTGCTCGGCACCGACTCTGGCGGTCTCTATATCTTCGACTTGCGGGAGAAGGGATACTTGGACCCCAAACCCGTGCGAAAGCACGTCCCGCATGTGGACTATGTCACCAGCATCACACCGCTGCCTCCCTCAGCAGAGAGCACCTCTGGCTTTCCGAAACAATGGGTCTCGACGGGAGGCACGACGCTCGTCATTACTGACCTACGGCACGGAATCATTGCTACGTCGGAGGACCAGGACGACGAGCTGCTCTGCTCGACCATTATCCCTACCGGATTGGGCCCCAAACGTATGCGGCAGAATGCGGTGGTGGCTGTGGGGACGGGCGGAGGGGTGCTGACGCTCTGGGACCGCGGCTCATGGGATGATCAACAAGAACGTATCTATATATCGGGGGGTCAGACGAAACGAGACGCCGAGAGCCTCGACGCCATTGTTCGGGGGCCTTCCGAGCTGGGATGGGATAAGAAGGTTGTAGTTGGGGTCGGAGATGGAAGCTTGAGCATTGTGGACCTGAAGAACCGGGAGGTTGAGGCCGTATTGAGACACGACGATATGGAGGGTGTGGCCGCCGTGAATTTCGACTACGAGCACCGCTTAATCAGTGGGGGTGGCAAGACTGTCAAGGTTTGGGCCGCACCCGAGTCAGCTGACGAAGAGGAGGAGGACGACGATGAAATCCCCGGGATCAAGAGATCCGCTGACAGTGACGAGGACTCCGAGAGCGATGATAGCGACAGCGAAAATGAGCGGCCGAAGAAGAAACAATCCAAGAAGAAGCGGCGAAAAGGCAATGGACCGCAAGGAAAGATGGCAGCCTTTCCTGGATTAGACTAAATGTCTTCTAACTTTATGGCTGTCTACCACGGGGGGACCTCACTTTAGTGAGTATATCTCAACAGCACTGTGTAGCTGAGACAGACGTTGTAGAACCTAACTCTGTATAATATACTGATGGTCAAGGTCAGGCTGCAAAATATAGTAATCAGTGTCAGCAGGTAGTAATGGACGCCTCACGGCGGCCACGAACCCCGTTTTATCATCAACAAACGCCTCTGTCTGGTCGGATGCTCGTTGATACACTCACTGCTAGCTCTCTTCTGGCCATTCCCAAATCTGCAATCCCCTCATTCTCCCGCCCCTACCTTATCACAAGCCTCGCAAGCGCGGAGGGGTCAATGAAAGGGGCCAAGCAAGTCTCGTGCCGGAGAAATGCGGCGCAGCCAGAGTTATTCCTCCGGCTCAAAGATGTGGCACAGCAACTGCGAATCTAAGTAGATGTGTTGGAATAAGTCCCGGTGACTATCTATGGCCGGGCTCACTCAGGCAACTGGCGTAAACCCAGCATGCGAATCCTTGCCAAGGACCAGCGTACTTTGTGCGGCTAAACGCGTTGTTTGGATAAAGATGCGAGTCGGTCGGGTCCAGGTTCAAAAGAGTATATATTCATTCGACGAGATGGTCAAGCTCTTCAGGGCGCCGCGACTTTGGCTCGGGGTTCGAAAGCTGAGAGGATAGCGACCGACCTGCGGAAAAAGGTTGCTCGACAAGGATGAAGTCGAACGATTTCGGAACCGGTGAGAAAGGGGGCCGGGTGCCGCCGATCCTCCCCATTCGGCCCGCCCCCGCACGTCTCGGCGCCGAATCGCCGGACTCGTCGCCGCTGCACGATTCAGGCCATTTTTCAAGTTCTCACAGTATGGAGAAGCTACCTCTGCTGCCTAGAGGCACGACTCCGAGGCGAAGCCGAGTCAACTGGCTGGTCGGCTCGATTCTCATTGCCGGCACCTTCGCGCTTGCTGTCTTGCTGCAGTGGAAGCTTGGGTTCCACGCTTCAACATGTGAAGCCCCCGGTATTCGCGCTGCGGTTCACGATAGCTTCGTCAGCCCTCCCAGGACAAAAATCCTGCAGGAGTCTCCGTACGGTGTCTTCCCGAAAGCGGATGATGCGTTCCGCCTGCTACCCTGTACAAACAAAACGGTCCCCCCAGCCTTGAACGATACCAATGCCGATCGGACATGGGCAGGCTTCTACGACCCCGACCCATCGCACTGGAGCTGGGGACCGCGACCTGCTGGCGCCAACTCGACAGCAAATTCGACAGTTGGGGATCCATACGCCGGACGCGGCATCTACCTCTGTGGGTATCTTGAGGTGCCCATGGACTACACCAACAAGTCGGATAGCCGCATCATGAGACTGGCCATTACAAAGTACCAGGTTTCTGGCCTGGCTCGGTCCTACGCAACGCAGAACTCGACAGCGGGTGGGAAAAGCGAGAGAACCATCGTCATCGAACCCGGCGGTCCTGGTGGGAGCGGCACAGGGTATGTGTGGAGCTCGGGTTATAACATCAGCCAGCGGCTCAGCGGTGGCCAGTTTGATATCCTTGGATGGGATCCGCGAGGTGTCAACATCTCACGGCCTGCTGTCGAGTGCTTCACTCATGATGCAGAGCGAGACCGGTGGTATCTGGCAACCTCGCAACACCGAGCCGCATCTGCCTCTCCAAGGGCCCAGCTAGAGATTGCCGACGCCATGAACGAGGCCATCTTCCGCGCCTGCTTTGAGCGTCATGGTGATCTTGGCCGCTTCTTGACGACAGCGTTTGTTGCCCGCGATCTAGAAGAGATTCGCAAAGCACTCGGCGAGGACGACCTGACGGGCTATCTCGTGAGTTACGGCACTGGCATCGGACAGACGTATGCTGGCATGTTTCCTGACAAGGTTGGCCGCATGATCCTGGACGGTACCGAGTACGTGCGTGATCACCGGCACCGCGGCGGATTCGGGTGGACTGCCCTCGACAACGCAACGGATGCCTGGCGTGATGGCTTCTTGGGGGAATGTTTGAATGCTGGCCCGGCGCGCTGTGCACTCGCCAAACCGAGAGATGGAAACCCGGTAACGCTCGCAGACTTGATGACTCGCATGGACACGCTCATCACGTCGTTGATCGAGCGTCCGATCCCAGCTACGGTGAAGAACTCGCCGACCATGATCATGCACTCGTACATTGTAGATTCCATCTACAGCGCTATGTACTCAGCCAAACGCTGGCCAGCATTGGCCCAACTGCTCTACGACCTCGAGTCGGGCAACGCGACCTTGGCTGCAACGAGGTTTCAGAGCGGGGCGTGGTGGTATGACCCCTCGTTGCCGTGTCCAGAACTTGGTGAGCCTGGCTCGGATAGTGAGTTAGGCAGCCTCGTGGTCTGCTCCGACTCCTACGATGCGCCCGAACCGGATGATGTCGACTGGTGGCTGTCGCTCTGGGCCAACATGACGACGCAGTCGTGGATTGCCGGCAACGGCCGCTGGTACACAGTGCTGCCGTGCCGCCACTTCAACCAGTTCTGGCCCAAGCCGGCCGAGGTCTTCCGTGGCGATCTCAATCAGACGCTGCGGACGCCCGTGATGCTCATTGCCGAGGTGTACGACCCGGCAACGCCGCTCCGTAACGGACGCCGACTCGCGGCGGAAATGGGTAGCAACGCGCGGATGATTGTCCACCACGGGTACGGGCACTCGTCGGTCGATACTTCGAACTGCACGGATTCAGCGGCCAAGGCCTACATCCTGAACGGTACCATCCCTGAGAAGGCCGAGACCGACTGTTATGCGAATGAGAAGCCCTACCTGTACGGCGTGCCCAAGAACACGACTACGACGGCCGTGCCGGGAGTTGTCAAGTCGGCGATGCTTCCGGGCAGCTTGGGGGAGGTGTCGGAGGAGTTTTCCGAATTTGGGTTCATGGCATGGAAAAAGTACCCGGGGGATATGCTCGAGGGGTAGGGCTGGTCGATATTCGACTTGTCTTTCTGCGTTGATGGCATCTTCCAGACTATGGACGCGTGGCATGCCTGGCGCGATCTGAGACATGTATGCTCTGCGAGAGAGAGAGAGTTAGAACATACGATAGCCGGCTGACTTCACAAGCAATTCAACAGCCCGCTTGGCTCAGTGGTAGAGCGCATCACTAGTAATCACATCGAGAAGCCAGGTTAATGATGAGGTCATCAGTTCGATTCTGATAGTGGGCAAGCTTATATTTTTGCATATCTTAGGTATATAGTGATGTCTTATTCACAGAATTTGCGATTTAATTTTTTTGTCATAGTGTATGAGGGGATCTCTGGCCTGATGTTGTGATGGTTGTGTCAGAGTCCCTGGCACGTGCTCAACGAACCAACCCCTATTTCGGCCTCCCTGTCGCACGCGGCTGGGTCGCATGGACACCCACCCGCAAGAAGTGGTGAGATCGGTACACCCGTCAAACGGCTGGTAGGCAAGGTAGGTTATCACACGGCATGGCCCATCCGGGACGGGCCAGGCGATGCAGGTACACACGTCTCGTGGCCGGTGTCGGTGGCGCGCCGATGGGCGTGCGTCCGATGTGGGCTCCGATCGGTCGGTCTGTGTTTCCTTATCTTGGTTGCTGATAGCGGCGTTTGACGCCCAGGAAGAAGATAGGGGGTCTGGCTTCAGTCCCACCCCAAGAAGCACATGGTTGATGCTTAGGTTGGCCTTCTGGGGCGGGGGGAACTTTGTGGTTTATACGAGGCCCAACCTCTTGATTTGCGTTTCTATCTGGGAAATTAAAAACAATCCAAAATAGAGATGTCAGGCTGCAACAGAGCCAGAGACAACTAACCGCTCCCCGTTCAGTTCCGCAGGACCGGTGGATGAGGCCAGCAATGTATTATTGTAAACCCAGATCCTCGGAAACTTTGGTGTCGAATCTACAACTACCACCCAACCTTGCCTGTCTCTTGACGAATTGGGGACTACTCCTGCCTGACCACGAGAGGCCAGATTCGTCCACACCGTCCGAGGCCTCCAGTCGCCGTCTTACCATCACCACTATTTCATGCTTCACAGCCTCTTCCAAGACAATATGACCACAGCCAGTCAGGATGTACACTAGTATTACGTCCACGGTATGAACCATCTCTAGTCTAGCAGTCTATGTCCTGTCGATTACCTAGTCCCAGTCTGTTGCGAACAAAGCAAACAACCCACCGCTCTAAACAAATCCCAACGACAGATATTACCCGATATAAAACAGCGCGAAAATAAAAAGCAATCCCCACACTACAACGACGCCGAGATCCTCACCGCAGGACTAGGCGCCACCAACCTCATATCCCTCGCCAGCTTGTCCCACGAAATAGCCCCACGACGAGCCAACTCCTCTGGTACATCGGGATCCGCATCCCCCATGCGCCGATTGAACAGCTCGAGGCTGACCCAGCCCTCGAAGCCGAGCCCGTGAAAGAAGGCGCGGGCGATCTCCTTGACGGGCAGGTACGCACCACGACTAGCCTCGCCGTAAAACAGACGACAGTTGCGGGACCAGCTCATGCGCGCAGGCTGCTCGGGATCATAAAAGGCGTGGCCGGGAAGCAGCGGATCCCGGAGGCGCTCGGCGTCGACGACCTGCACATAAAACACTTTGGACACATCGACCTGGGCAACGAGGGCGGCCACAGAGCGGCGCACGGCCTCGTCGGCGTCGGCAGTCCGGCCGGATGCCGCCGTCGGATCGGCAAAGATGCGGCCGGCGATGTTGAAGGTGTCGAGACACATGCCAAAGTTGGGCCGGTCGACGCGCTGCACCACGTCCCAGCACGACTGCCACACGTCAACGTGAGTGCTCCAGCAGAGGCTCTCGTAGGCGAAGCGGATCTGCGGGCACGCCTGCAGGCCCATGTCGGCCACTTTGCGGAGGTCTGACACGATAAGGTCCGGGTCGCCGCTGACCTGGTCTGCTGGGAGGAAGTTGGCCGGGATCTGGATCATGTCTGTCTCGAGCTCGTGGGCCATTTGGATCCAGAGCGCTAGCTTCTCGAGCCGCTGCTCGTGCTCGGCCCGGTCAAGGAGGCCCTCGTAATGTCCGAACGGTTGTAGACAGACGATCTCGATGCCGCGGTCCCGACACATGTCGAGGATGTGCCGGGATGCTGCGAGCTGGGCCGTAGCAGAATAGGGATCCTCATTCTCATCGCATAGTTGCTCGGCGACGTCGATGAGGTCTTCATGGAACAGCTCGATGCCCTGGTATCCATACTTGTTGGCAGCGTCCAGCTTGCTCTCGAAGGTGTGGCCCGCATAACAGCGGCCGAGGGACATGGAGGTGATGGCGAGCTTGTGGACCATTTTGACGACGACGATGTTGTTATGGAAGAAATGATAAGGATCTGGCCAGACACGGAGGGGAGGGAGACTGTCTAGACCTTTATAGTCGAGGAAGAAGGGGGGGCCTGCCCATGATAAGGGAAGAAGTCGGAGGCCAGGATATATAGCTACCAGCTGCACCACGCAGAGGAAATAATCAAGGGGGAAGAAGCCAAGCGGACGGCGAATAACAGAAACAAGGATGTGGTCTCTCACCGTCGATTTCACCTCCCAGGTCCCACAATACCACGACGTATCACTCGATGCCGTACGTCCATCGACCTGCCAAATCACCAGAGCCATGCACGGTCTGCAGGCCCCTAGTCGCCAGAGCTTTCATCCCATGGCTGGCGAGAGGACGTGCCGAAGACGGAGATACAGCGGGAACCAGTCGGTAGGTAGCCGTTCGAAGCCGTGTCCGGGATTTTGCCCGAGAAGCTCCGGCGGCGCGGCGGTGAGAGCCCGAGGCCCTGAGCAGGTGCAGTCAAGGCGAGTCCGCCATGCCGCCGTCAAATGCACCTCACCTGCAACCACGCAGTCATGCATATTCCTGGTGGGGCCGCCCCCGGCACGCACAGCGCTGACCAGTCACTCGGGAACGGTGCCGTCTTTCTTCATTTTGGCCGCCCATTGCGAAATATCCGGGCGTTGTGAGGGAAGAAAGACTAGGACCTTCAGCAGAGAGGGGGGAAGGTAGGAGAGCCAAGAAGATGGAGAAGGAAAAAAAGGAGAAGAGAAGAAAATAATAATACCTCAGCCCATGGGTGTTATGCTCGAGGCCGATGATCGAGGAGTACTCGGGCAACCGCCGAGGTACTGCAACAAACCTCCCGTTCCATGACCTCACTGCCATGAACCGAGACTCCCAGATCCCCGAGATTGCTAAAACTAGTCGGGCTCGCATCCGGCGTCTGGCTGTTTGGTAATACATCGGGCCATCCAACTCAAATTCGCTTCACTGCAGCAACGCGTCGTTGCACCCGTTGACGACCGTCGGACTCGACCCTGTAGATAGGCTATGTTCAAACAACACGAGACGCCCGATCAGTCCTCTGCCTCCTGCTCCGTAGAATTGAAATCCGGGATCCAACCCTTGGGCCGCTCGCTCCCTCGCACCTTGAGATCGTAGCCCAGCTTCTCAACCTTCTGAACCGACTGGCGCGTTACCTCTAGCTTCTTCTCCCATATACTCTTGGGCCCGCCCCGATATGGGAGCATCTCAAAGAAGCTACCGAGTTCGTGCATGTCCTGTACAATGTTACGGCCGTCTTCCGTATCGCCGCCCGCCAGCTTCCCTGTCAAAGCCGAGCTCGTCGTGGCGAAGCGCATCATCTCGCCAGTTAGATCAAAAACACCGTACAGGTAGTCTTCATCTGTGAGCCCAATCGTCAGAGCTTCGCTCTCTTTGGCTGACTCGGGCGCTTCCGGACTTTCCATGACGGCGTCCTCTGATGCCGCGACTCCCTGACGGACCAGGTCGTCAACGATCGGAGTGAGAGCCTTGTGGCTGATCAGAGTTTGCGTCTTGAGGTAGTGGTAAAACGTAAGAGCCTCGACCAGTTCCTCGAGACAGTCAAGTGAGCGAGCGTAGCGGTACCGGTTGATACCTTGGATTTCGGGTGCCATGACCGCCAGAAGCTGCGAAACCTCGGCAAGGCGGGAGTCAACCTCGCCCTGGATATTCGGTGGTAGCTCATTCTCAATGTTGCGGACTCTTCAATGCCAGAGCGTGTTAGTCATGCCGGCAGTTGGGGGCCTGCTGGGGCGCTCGAAACGTACCGCTGTAGCGAGAAGATGCTGTTGCGAGTGAGCTTTGGACGCGGTGTGGATGCCTGCAAAGTGCTTACATTTTCTTACTTAGGGCGGTGACGTCCCTGGAGCTCTTCCAAAGGCGGGCACGACGGTCATGGTGGGCATCAAGCTCGTCGCGCAGACCTTCAAACATGGGCGTGAAGGCGTTGCGAACGGCTGGCTTCGCTGTTGCTTTGGGGCCGTCGCCATGTCTCTTGGTGTTTCCCTGTCGGTCGCGCTTAAATCCCGACATTTTGACCTTTGTTATTTTCTCAGAGCCGACTTGGTTCGCTGCGAATTTGCGGGTTTTGCCTTGGATGACGGGGTGATGAGTAGTATGGCGAGGTCAGAGACTGAAACCGTCGCCCCTGGGTGTGGGGTTAGAAAGGAAATTTGGGCAGTCGTGTTCCAGCTTTTGCAGTTATCGACAAACGGCCATTGGGAACAGTCCTGGAGCAAGCGCGTTTTCGACCTCAAACAACTGATTGGGAAACTGTCAGCAATCTGCAGCGGCGCATGCGTCTTTTTACGTCTGTTTCGGGAATTCTGATGGATTTGAAGAGGTGCTGACACTTACGGTGCATCAAACTGGCGAGCTTGGGAACGCGGCGGTGAAGCTGGAGGAGAGCTTGGATTCCGGCCGAGAACGAACACCGCGGAAAAAACACAGACGCAATGGCGGGCCCGGTAGTGCCTTCCTCACCTACGACCAGGTTTTTCGGTAGCCCGTCAGCTGTCTATCTCTCGGCCGCCATCCTCCGCGGCGCCTTCCTCGTCTACGGCCTCTGGCAGGATGCGAATTCGCCCTTCAAGTACACCGACATTGACTACCTGGTCTTCACTGATGCCTCCCGCTTCATGAACCACGGGAAGAGCCCCTATGCCCGCGAAACCTACCGCTACACTCCCGTCCTGGCATGGCTTCTCCTCCCGACCGCATGGGCTACCGGCTCGTCCATCTGGGATGTCGTTTGCTTCAGCTCCGGCAAGGTTCTGTTTGCCGTTGCTGACCTCGTGGCCGGATGGCTGCTCGAGCGTCTCCTCACCATGGGCGGAGGGAGCCTAAGACCTATGG